TTTGACCATCAGAGAAAGGGGAAAGCTAACCAGTTGACTCTCTTACTTTAGACGTTTCAGGAATTCTCAATCAACGTGTGAGATTTTGTCTGTTGAAATGTACTATCCAATGTACCTCCATTATTTTAGATATTCAAAGGACTGATGCGTAACAAAAAACTGCCAGCGGTGACTGATCACATGAACAGCTTCGTCACCATTCATATATTATAATGTCAACTCAAGTCAAGGTACGCTTTATGCACCCAAAGGGTGAGTTTTCAGCGATTTTTCACGATAATACAGTGGAATTGGGATAGGGTCCCACCAGAGTGAGAATGAATTAAGCAAAAATGACAGAAAACTGCAATCAGGACAACGATAGTGACAGATTAAAATGAATAAACAAATTAATTCATGAGGTGCTCAAACAAACCTGTTATAATTGGTGCCCGATTTACTACAAAGCGAGCAAGAACAAAAGTTTGGTTGCTGTTTCTGTATTTGACGGCGTGTGAGAGAAGGAGACCATGATGGAAGCGGGTACGGGGTTTAACATGGATTTGGGAAGTTCGTTGTTCCAGATCCTATCGGATATTCTTTCACATGCCTTGATGTGTTTTTTACTCAATAAAATCAACCAGGAATTCTCTGGCTATGCTACTACATCGGGATACGGGTTTTACGGACTTGGAAATTAATACAAAATCTCTTTATTTTAGGCCGGATAAAAGTTACGGGAACAGTACAGCCAATGAGGGAGGATGCATCACAAACTTGAAAATAACGTTTGGGGAAACAGCAAGCCTCCTAAGCCTGAAAGCATGAAAGGTAACTTTACGAACCCAGTTGAAATCGTTCTCTACATGAAAGGTCCAGAAGAGATTGTAGGATAGAACGACTCCGAGGTATTTATCAAAGTCAGCCTTTGGGAATGCTGTGACTGTAAGCGACGGGGTCCGCGAAACCATGAAAGGTAGTTTGATAGCGGGAGCCAGATTCAAGGCTGGAGGGAACGTTAACACATTCGGAAACATTTTGGAAAAGAAATTGGGGTAGATACCAACTAAAAACGTCTTTCAGACTGCCTTAAAGTCGGTGGAAGGAAGCCTCAGTATTGAAGGGGCACCCAAACACCACATCGTTTGCATACTTACGGGCAGTAAAGTTGGCAGGGACAGGCAGGTTGTTTAGGTACAGGGAAGAAGAAAGGGAGACAAAATGAAACCATGAAAGACTCCAGATTTGATATAAGTGGAGGATGACGTTTTAACATTGTATAGGGTAAACTGTGTCCTAAAAGAGAAGTAGTTCACAAGAACGTTTAACACATCGGATCCGAAGCCGCAGTCAGTAAGACGTTGAATGAGAATGCGACAGTCAAGCGAACCAAATGCGTCGGCATAACGAAGAAATAAGATGAACAGCTCCAGCACTCTTATATAAAACGGAGACCACAGAATGGGCAATATATGCGACGGCGCCAACAGTCAAACAGGCTTTTTATAAGGAATCTGAAGAGGATCAAGAACATCAGAGAGGATAGTCAAACGGTTCAGCAGCACTGTTTTAGACAGGGCTGAGGTATATGCAGTCCGTCGATATTTTGAATAACCCTCCTTGGGGATGGGTCAATATCCGGGCAGCCCTTCAGCAATCCTGGATTGTTCCGGAAGACATAAATTAACTAAAGATCTTTGTAACGGGTTTTGCAAGGTGTTGGGCACTGTTTTTTTAATAAAATAGGGGTTAATGCTTCCGGTCCATGGATATTGTTTGCCCTAAGTAGATTCGAAACTTTGAGAAACTCAGTCGGGAGAACAGGATCGATGTTTTCTGGTTAATTGAAAACTTTGACTGTGCTTGGGATGTGTTTCCGATATCCAAAATTAAACGTCTGTTTCCCGGTCATTTCCACTGTTTATTTTTTTTTCTGTGCAACAACAAACTATGGTGGTACAGACAGATGTCTGTCTGAATTATTCCGCGTGCCCCGCACATCTCGGATGAAGAAGCATTGATCGACACCCTCAATTATCAGTTCGATCGTTTCACATCGAGTTGAATAATGATCCGGGCAGTTTGTCTTCTCTCCGTTTAGTTGATACTCGATCAAATAGGTCATATCGGATTAAATTGCAATTTGTTCATAGCACCGCTGGTCTATTCAATCTTCAAATGAGGTTGTAAGATTTTATAGCATTCGGCACATTTATTCCGTTCATCCCTCAAAACAATGATTGTGTGATGACTAAATTGCGAGCTACATGAACCAATCAATCAAGCTTCAGTCTTCATAATTGTGGGCAGCAGACTGGACACACGCATCACCCCAATCGTCATCAGATCGAGGAGTCGATTATTTGTGTTCTTCCGGCCACACTGATTGCAAGTGCCCCTACGAACACCGCGCCGTCTCCCCCCCCCCGCTCCTCCGTCGCCGCCACCCGGATCCACCTACGATGTAGAACAGGAATTCAGGAGGGCCTTCGTTCTCTGCCACGATCAATGACGGACTGCTTCATTGGAGTACCTCAAGCGAGATAGGATGCTTCCGAATGCGACACACCTTCTAGTCTTAAGGGGATAACGTTTTAAGTCTATGCACAATCAATGTTAAAATACAAAACAAATAGCACAAAATTGTGAATTATTGGTTAGTTATTGAATCATCTAGAATTAGGCTGTTCATCGGCCCAGGTCGTTTTGCTTACAAAGCGTATATTGGAATAATGGACTAACCTAAATAGAACACAGCCAAAGGTTACAATACTGTTGGCTTTTAATTATCATCCAGATCTGAGCTACATGTAAATTCTTCATCGGAGCAAATGATAACTGGGGACCAACTATGGAACAAACTGTTGAATAGTTTCATTACTTTCTTCTTGTTTGTCCTTGCAAATCAATTCTCGGTTACTAGTTATATTTATTGTATTGTAATGGCACGATAAGAACACACCGAGAACGAGCCTGTTTCCTAATTTGAGTTCTCAAATTGTACATCGTTTGCAGTACAATTACCGGAAGTAATCAGAATGCATTAAATAAAATCATGGAAACATGTGGTGCAGTTTCCATCTCCGTACAGCATCGTCCAATCAGCACACAGCTCTGAATGAATCCTGATTGGTCGACTTTCTGGGCCAATCACCTCGATTTCCCAGGCCTGGCGTGTAAATCAGCTGTCTGGTCGAATGATCAACTGCTCAGTCGGGGAGACATTTAATTGGCTCTTAAGATAGCGTGCGCCCAATTTTTATGTGGTTTATTTTTCAATCGGAAGTATTCGGTCAATCACTCATCCGAACTAGGATGATTATGTATGATTCTTATCTAATCAGGTGATATTGTCCCTAGATGTTATGCAAACTTTCGTTACATACAAATGGATTCTGTGTTGTGCTCTGTTGGTTCTCGGACTACGCTCCAATGACGGTCGCGTGGTTCGATTTGTGATCGATGAAGAGCTGGAAAAAGGCAGCAAAATTGGAAGTCTGTTGGATCATGTACCAGGTGCTTTCAACAATCTGAATTTTGTGCGACTGAGCAACACAGATGACGCGTCAAATTACTTTAATGTCGATCAGTACTCCGGCGATGTGAATGTTGCAGCCCGTTTGGATCGGGAACAGTTATGCACCGTCAAGAACTCTATATCGAACGGTGATGAAGACGTTACCACCTCCCCCGTTCTCACTACTCCCCAAGAGGTTTCAACCGCGGACTTTCGTAGTCCGTGTGAGTTACGTTTCAGCGTCAACTGTCTCAGTGCGAACACTGCTTCCGGGACCGCTCCAGTTGGGGGTAAAGTGATTGAACTGTTCGATGTTGTGATCACTCTCAGGGATATCAATGATAACGGATGCATATTTGTACCGCATAATAGACAAACCGTTCATCTTGCCGAGGATTCCCCCATTGGAAAAACCCGGGTGGTTCTGTACAGTCCGTTCGATCCGGACGATGCGAAAAACGGTCACTCGTTAAGTCTATCCAGTATCCGATTCCATAATGCGGAGAAAAGCTTTGTACAGAAACACGGCTCTATTGGAATCAGTGAAACGGAATTTCATCAAATGTTTCGTGTGCACACTCGTTTTGATACACCGAAGAAATATTCCACGGACGAGGGGAACCGGCTGACCGAATCGAACAAGGTTCTGATCGAACTCGAACTGATTCAAGCACTGGACTATGAGAAACAAACAAACTACTCGTTCGCGTTGTCCGCGAATGACGGCTCCGGTCGAAAGGATCATCAATGCACACTGCAAGTGCTTCTGCTTGTGGAGGACTGTAACGATAACACGCCACGATTCGATCAGACACAGTATACAGCAAACTTGTCCGAGAACACCCCGCTCGGGACATTGATTGTTCAACTGAAAGCCACCGATGCGGATTCCGGAACGCATGGAGCGGTTACATATTCCATTGTCGGCTCTTCTGTGGATGATACAAACTCACCATTCTACATTCACCCAAGTAAAGGGGAACTGAGGTTACAGCATCGGCTGAATCATCGTCAAAAAGCAAAGCATAAACTGACTATTCAGGCCAGTAATACTGCAAACGGTACACATTCGTCCAATCGTGTAACCGTACCAAAGCCTGGTCAGACTGCCACGGTGGAAATTAATGTGCTGGATGTGAATGACCAGGCCCCAAAAATTCGCCTGTTTTCCCCTACCGGATCCACTCGGTTAGAAGTTGTGGAGGAGTCCCCACCCGGTCAGGACGTGGCCATCCTAGACGTGACGGATCGTGATGTCGGTCAGAATGCCGAGGTTGAGTGTCATTTGGCGAATCAGTCACTCCCGGGTGCGTTGCGGATGCACTTTCTCGATGGACCGGCAGAGTTGGTGGAGAGGGATTATACAAAGAAACGATACAAACTAACCGTAGTTAAGACACTGGATCGCGAGCGCACAGCCGAAGTTCATTTCATTGTGAGATGTTGGGATCACGGTAACCCGAGACAGACCACGGATTCGCCCGGTGTACTGAACGTGGTTGATATTAATGATCATGCGCCACAGTTTGAAAAGGACTCCTACTCGATCTCTGTGTCGGAAGACAGTGACCCAGATCGAAGCAAATCTGCATTTAGACTAATTCAGGTGCATGCACGGGACAAGGATACTGGACTGAATGCACAAATTCGATATCGAATTGATCATGAAATTGCTTCCGCTTTGTTGAGTTTAGTCAAAGTGGACGCCGACACCGGAGTGATTAGTTCTACAGGGAATTTGGATCGCGAAACAATGGAGAGCTTTAGTTTGACAGTCATGGCCACTGACATGGGTGATCCGCCCAGATCAGCTCGATGCAAAGTGAACGTGCGTATATTGGACTATAATGATAATGCGCCGACTTTTTCCAAATCATTCTATACGTTCAAGTTGCCGGAGAATAGTCCGATTGGACAACTGATCGGTACTCTCCGAGTGAGTGATGCAGATTCTGAACAAAACAGTCGGATCACAGTGCGACTAGAGGATGGGTCAGAAAGTATGGAACTATTTGCCAACTCGGTGTGGAATGGATTGGGTCAAGAACGGGTAGAATTTTCATCCGCTATAAAGCCCATGTATCGTGACATGACAATGATATCGGGTAAAACGGATCGCCTCGTCAGTATTCCTCAGATTCGAGTAGTCTCTTATCAACCGCATCAATCGAATACCGGTACCGCGAGTAGGAATGGGAGTGTGTACGAAATCCAGCTATACACAAATTCTATTTGGGATCGTGAGGCGCTTTTTGTCAGTCGGTATAGGAAAACACTGATGGAAACAGCGAACGAACGCGGCGGATTTGGTCAGTCGACCACATCAACCAGAATAGGGGATCTCACTCGAAAGGATGATCTCTTGAATCAGACACAGATGGATCCGTATATGATAGTGCATTTACGGGCTGAGGATCAAGGTAATCCCCCGTTGATCAAACGTGTCCCCGTT